AAACTTTGACATGCGTGATGACTGTGTGAAGAGTGGGAATCACACAGCTTTCCCACTTGTGGTGAGATGTGCAAGGTGTGAATTCCTCTTCCACAAATTGCACACCACATCATAACTACATACGGAAGGCATAGTTCACATGTGTGATAAATGTGTGAAGAGTGGGAATCACACACCTTTCCCACCTTTGGAGAGGTGTGCAAGGTGTGAATTCCTCTTTGACACATGTGCATTTCATATCAGAACTCCACCCTGAAAAAAAACTTTGACATGCGTGATGACTGTGTGAAGAGTGGGAATCACACGCCTTTCCCTCTTGTGGTGAGGTGTGCAAGGTGTGAATTCCTCTTCCACACATTGCACACCACATCATAACTACATACGGAAGGCATAGTTCACATGTGTCATAACCGTGTGAAGAGTGGGAATCACACACCTTTCCCACCTTTGGAGAGGTGTGCAAGGTGTGAATTCCTCTTTGACACATGTGCATTTCATATCAGAACTCCACCCTGAAAAAAAACTTTGACATGCGTGATGACTGTGTGAAGAGTGGGAATCACACGCCTTTCCCTCTTGTGGTGAGGTGTGCAAGGTGTGAATTCCTCTTCCACACATTGCACACCACATCATAACTACATACGGAAGGCATAGTTCACATGTGTCATAACCGCGTGAAGAGTGGGAATCACACACCTTTCCCACCTTTGGAGAGGTGTGCAAGGTGTGAATTCCTCTTTGACACATGTGCATTTCATATCAGAACTCCACCCTGAAAAAAAACTTTGACATGCGTGATGACTGTGTGAAGAGTGGGAATCACACGCCTTTCCCTCTTGTGGTGAGGTGTGCAAGGTGTGAATTCCTCTTCCACACATTGCACACCACATCATAACTACATACGGAAGGCATAGTTCACATGTGTCATAACCGTGTGAAGAGTGGGAATCACACACCTTTCCCACCTTTGGAGAGGTGTGCAAGGTGTGATCCTCTTTGACACATGTGCATTCATATCAGAACTCCACCTGAAAAAAAACTTTGACATGCGTGATGACTGTGTGAAGAGTGGGAATCACACGCCTTTCCCTCTTGTGGTGAGGTGTGCAAGGTGTGAATTCCTCTTCCACACATTGCACACCACATCATAACTACATACGGAAGGCATAGTTCACATGTGTCATAACCGTGTGAAGAGTGGGAATCACACACCTTTCCCACCTTTGGAGAGGTGTGCAAGGTGTGAATTCCTCTTTCACACATGTGCATTTCATCTCAGAACTCCACACTGAAAAAACCCTTTGACATGCGTGATGACGGTGTGAAGGGCGGGAATCACACATCTTTCTCACTTGTGGAGAGGTATGTAAGGTGTGAATTCCTTTTTCACACATTGCACACCATATCAGAACTACATACGGAAGGGTTAGTTCACATGTGTGATAAGTGTGTGAAGAGTGGGAATCACACACCTTTCTCACCTTTGGAGAAGTTTGCAAGGTGTGAATTCCTCTTTCACACATGTCCATTTCATCTCAGAACTCCACACTGAAAAACCACTTTGACATGCGTGATGACGGTGTGAAGGGTGGGAATCACACCCCGTTTACACTTGTGTAGAGTTGTGCAACGTGGGAATTCCACTTTCACACCTGTTCATCTATACCAAAACACCCAGCTGAAAAAAGATTTTTACACATGTAATGTCCTCAATACAGGTGGGAATCACACCCCATTCACACTTGTGTAGAGAGTGGTGCGACCTATGAATTCCACAGGAATCACACCCCATTCACACTTGTGTAGAGTTGTGTCAGGTCACGTGTGAAATTCTTCCCAAAACATAACACCATACTAAAAAAAACTTTCACACATGTAAAAACAGTGTGACAAGTGGGAAAAACCCCGTCTACACTTGTGTAGACCTGTGCAACGTGTGAATTCCACTTTCACACTTGTTCATCCATACCAGATAACATGCTCACCTAATCTTTCTTGACAAAAGATAAGTTGAAAGTTGGAGGCATGGAAGGGTGGGAATGATCATGTATTTCAGATATCAATCTTCGTAAACTAGGTAATCAAACTCATCTTCATCATGCTCAACTATTTCATCATCATCATCATCTTCCCCAATCTCATCCTCTTCAGCGACAATGGTGGGGACCTGTACCATCATTTCCCACTCAGCAAGACACTTTTTAACCATGGTTCTCCACTTTTCTTGTAAATCATCATCACTGTCTGTTTCACAGACATTGTAAGGTTCTGATTCGTGCAGTAAACTGATGATGGTCCCATTCCACCTTAGCCATAACCGCCAAGCTTCCCGTGATAAATTAGATGTGATTGCCAGCATCATATCTTTATTTGCCCAAGTTGGGATTATGTCTTCAAGATACATAAACTGATGGTTATTATCAAGCGCAAATCTTCAATGAAGGAGCATAACAACTCACCATTGGTGTTATTTTGACGTAGGTTGTCAATCCTGCCTTGATACAAAACAGCCCAGTTCAGCATTTGCCTGGCTTCTTTTACAATGCGGCGAAGCTCCTTGGTACACCGACAGACGCTAATGTATGCTTCCATCCCTTCCTGAGTTGTGTCGTCTACAGCCCAAGGTTCGGTCGAGTGAATGAGGCTGCCGAAATTGAGAAAAGGGTGGCATAGATCCATTGCTTCAACCTCTTGAAGAGTTGGGGTGCGCAGTAATGGAGTAGGCATGAATTTCTCATTGTATTGCTTTGCAAGTCTGATATATGTAGCATGCTTTCGTCGTAGCTGAGTGTTCTTCAATAGTCGCAAGGTATTCATTTTCTTTTGAACATTAGTACCTTTGAACGGTGAACGTGTCAATGGTTTTGTTTT